GGGGGGGGGGGGGGGGGGCGACAACGTTAGGTGGTGTCTTGCACGGCGGTGCAGAGTGTGGCGGGTGCCATAACACACCTCTAAGAAGTTAAGCATAGATTCGCTGTTGGTGACCTGGATCTTTACTAGCGCTCTGCCCAGAAATGCCTGCAAGTCCTGGCTTCGCTCGTTCAAAAAATCTGGATCGAATCTGCCGCGACGACAGCGAGAGACGACGAAACAAAAAGTGACGAACAATCAGCTTTCAGCGCGCAGGCCCCAACAGAACATTCGCGTCAATGCTCCGATCACGCCAATGGTTGCACGAACGCCGATCAGCCTTTGCGAGGATATTAAGCTTTGTAGGAGGTACGGGGTGGGGTTGGGGCGAAACCTCCCTCTCTATTCCATAGATCAAATCCTCGCAATTTGGTGGTCCCGTTCAGCGTGGGGGTGCCGCACTGTTGTTTCTACAAACGGTCCTGCCTCGAATCCCTCCGCGTCATCGGGTGCCTCGGAGAGAGACCGCGTTCGTGGTAAATTGAGCATACGGAGGACAACATGAACAGGGAGGTGGCACACAGACCCAATTTCCCCTCCCTCACCCAATTTCCCCAGTTGCAGCCCTTATGTATGTCCAACATTGTCACACACGAAAAACCCTGAGAAAGGCTACTGCTGTAGGAGAGCCGCCTGGCTTCCCTGTGTTCCCGTGCGGCGGTGTCATGGCACTCGCACACACGGATTGCCACACACGCAGGCGAGCCCTGCTGGACAATCGAGCGATTCATTTGGTGGTGTGCTGCGGTCTGTCCTGCAAGGTCTTTCGCAGGAGGCCTTAGCGATGATGATCTGAAGAACCAACGGCCATGTACTTGGTTGGACAAACCGTATCCCTTGCACCATCAATGCGTTCATGGGTGTGTGTGTTCTTTTCGTCCCAACCATTCCGGCGCCACTCTACACCTTCGGCATGCATTTGGATGTTTAGGCCGAAGTCACAAAGAGGAGGAAGGTAAACACCAGACGGCCATTTTTTCTTCTTAATTGTCCACATTGCCCCTGCGGTTGTTGCCTTCGATATCAAACGCGAGACAGAGGTTTCAGCAGTCACTTCCCTCATGATTCGTGTATGCTCACGAACACATGGCTTTCCAACCACAAGCCTGCACACGATTCACTCCCAATAGACGTTCAAGACCACAAACAGCTGCTAGCAGCTTGACGAGGTTACCCGCTAGACCACCGGGGACGCAAGGAGACCACATTACAAAAACACCAAGAAAAGTTCTACCCCGCACCGCAGTTGACGCCCTCACACCACCAAAATAAGCATCTTCTCCGACCTGTTGAAGAATCTCCTTTTAGGTAACGGTCCCAAGTCCGTGTCTCTGAACTCCCGCGAGAGCCCTTGGTGAAGCGTAACGAAGTCATTGAACCGCTTCTCGATCACCCAGTTAGACCCTCGAAACGACACCTTGTGAGAAAACATTAAATATCAACAGGGGCGTGCAGGAGTAAAAAAATTAGAACGGGGGACACTTTAGGTTTTCCGCTAGCGTGTTTTCGGGACACTATAGTACTGCATTTTTTTTTTTGGCCAAAACAGTAAATAGAGCACGGAGTTGGTAAGGCTGTGTGTAGATGTGAACATTTTCTTTTTTTTTTGCTGAATATGACCCAACGAATCCATCTCTATCTAGGGAAATGGTCTAAGATAGATTAGCAATGAATTCATAGGGCCAGAGAGAGCTACCTGTATTTCCACGTTCTTCCGATTGTAATTGGTTCGTTAAGGTTCGCTTGGCTCTTCGAGTGTAAAATACGCCAGCTGCGTGGGGCTATTGAGCTACAGGGAAATGTCACGACTAGCAGCTGGCAGCCAGCTGTGGGCTGGTTGCTACTACTGCTTCTATTTCATCTTGCATCACGACCTTGATGACACCACACTCTCATGAGCCCACCCCAGCGGGATAGATCCCTTGATTATACCTCACCATAAATGGAGTGCACCAAATGATGTAGGCCAAGTTTAAGGAACCCTCTCAGGCTCTTGTCTGTCGCAGAGAATAAAATTGTTGTTTCACAAGAAAAAAAGAAGTGGCTACCCGTGGTCCTTGTCACCATTAAACGGACAATAAGCTCCACATTCGTGCGCAATACTGTATGTAGGGCGGCGGGTCTGTGTGCGAAGGGCAGACGAAGCAAACTATTGTGCCAACGGCTAACGTCGTAGGCAAAAACGATTGATCAAGATGGAGCCTCACGTAAGAATCGTGTGCCGAGTCGGAAAATTGAAATTTGGCAAAAAAGGACCGGCTCTTTGACCAGCTCCAGCGTGGTGGGAAAGGAAGCAAAGACAACCAGTAACTCGACTTCCAAAATACCAATACATACTACACCCGGGTGTTTTCTGCATGATACTTTGTACAAGTGACTGAGCTCACGACCGCACGATTCAAAGGGGGGTGATATCATACTGTACGTCCAAGATGAATTTGAAAGCAGGGGCACCGCAGGACACAGCCGACTACCAGTTCCCAGCTGCTTGCAGCTTGCAGCATAACGTTTCCTACGCCCAACAGCTCACACAGTGACGTGTTTTGCACTCGGAGGAGTCCAGCGAACCTCACGAACCGGAAAAAGGAAAAATTAAAAGGCACCAACCAGTCTTGCGTTGTCGCGGAAACGGAAATACAACACGCATCACTGGCGTCTCTTCCGCTTTGCGAAAACCAAAGACGCGAAAACATCCCAGTGCGATAATTTACTTTTCCGGTCTATTAGTGCTTCGCCGCGTACCATGCAACGCAGCGGTTTTGCGCACACGGCCAGAGTAAAATACGTGTACATGTACACGGCAGGCGCCCACCAACCCGGCAGTGCTCCTCCAGTAGATAGCAGCGCTTACCACTGACCTCACAGCGTCTGCGTCTGCGTACTACTTAGAATATGAACACGCGATGTAAACCAGCAAACCTGGCGGATGAAAAACGGCGGTGAGCGTGGGGGGAATTGATGGCCTCCGCGTCGGAATGCGACAGGAACACCACCGCCGTTGTTGGTGCACAGTTACATGCACGCCGACCTCTGCATCTACCCACTGCTGCACGCTAACTTCATACCCAACCCGGGGTGCTTGGGGTTTAAGCTCTGAGAGGTTGGATAAGAGCATGCAAGCAAGAGGTGCCATTTAGAGGGGACGGAAAATTTGAAGCCCTCTCCGTGTGTCAACCATTTTTGTTTTGTGACGAAGTCAAGGTCATTTGCCCCGATTATGTACAGCGGCACCACCAACTTGGCACCACCGTTGATTTTTGCAGCGTTGTGTGAAGACTGCTGTGTGCCGTCGCTCCTTACAGGTGAAGCTTCACCAACACAACACAACTACCGGGCAAGGAAGACTGTAACACGGCAGGGGGCATGGTAGTATCGTCATGGGGCCGAATCAGATAGTACGTTCATTGGTGCAATATGACTGATGCAAGCGCACACACACGTCAAGACAACAACAACAACAACAACAACACATCAACGAGGGTAGGGACCCGCGAGAAGCGTCAACCATTACACCGGGCACTTTGGCTCTCGAAACTATCCACAGCAGAGCACAGGTGTTCCAAGATTCTCGAGGAACAGCAAGTACGCGTGTGTTGTTATCAACAAGCTTGAACTTCAGGCAGAAGAGCAGCAGCAGCAGTAGCAACAGCAGCAGCAGCAGTGGCACCTTGTCGAGAAGAACGATCAAATGAGGGAAAAGGGAGACTTTGGACCGGGAGTTTTGACGTGAGAAACTCGACACATTCTGTGTGTACTGGGCACAACCAACACGTGTTTATTTACTCAGCCCTCGCTTGGGATGTTGTAGACCAATGATGGCTTACGAGCACCGGGAGGGAAACGTTTCACTCGAGGCAACAGCAGCACAGCCTGATCGCACACGCACGACAAAATCGACAAGTAAAGCCGTGCCTCTCCGTCCCTCTCCCTGTAAAATCACGACACAACAACACCCAAACCACAGCAGGTTGGTTGTGCGAAATCGACGATCGATCGCCAACTCTTGGTGCTTGTGTCTACCTCTTGTAGCAGCAGCTCACCTCGATGTTGAACACCACGTACCCCGCTGGTATCTTGTCCCAGTAGTTGATCCTTGCAGTAACGATGGAAGTCATCGTAGTGCGGGCGGGTACGGCGGGTAACCGTCGATTGACTCAACTGAACAGCTGAACACCGCGTGGAGCGCACCACACGGAGCAAGACAGAGAGAGCGAGTGTTGGGGGCCCGCAGCTGAGAACATGCGGGAGGGGCTTTGGGATCAGCACTGCAGCAGGGCAGCCGGCCAGCCAGCACGCAGCCAGCAGGGGAGCGGACACTTGCGGAGTCGTGGGTGCCCGAGCGAATACGTACGACGACGTAGCAGGATAATTTGGTCAGCGCCCGTCTTACCTAACCAACGGAACACAGCCGAGGGGGAACCTATGTTCGCGGCTGGAGCCAACGATCACGGGCAGGCATGGGGGGGTGTCCCGGGCTCGGGCAGGACGCTTGCGCGGCTTCCCTCCTGTGAGTAGTTTTTTTTCGATTTTTTCCCACACATAAATTTCCAGAAATTCCACAAATCTGGTTGTTGTTATCTTCCTCGCTCGATCTGGTCTTTTCCAACACGCGTTCATTTTCTCTGCGACCTGCTTTGACGACGTGATGCCCTCGTGGGCACGTGGCCACCAGCAGCGCTGCGTGACGAGGGCTTAGTTGATCACACGTTGAGCGTATATATATGTGGCACACACATGGGCTCGATCACGTCCAAGAGAGCAGGAGGCGCTATGCATACGTTTCAGCAAATGTTTTTCAGCGAGGGTGGCACAGCCGTGGAAGGGCGGGTGTCGGCAGTTGCACCTCGGACCTTGACGTTGGGACCTCAACCGAGCCGCCGCAGTAAAACAAGCCTCTGCCTGGCGTGCGTGAGAGCGATTGTTGGAGAGATTTGCCCCCCGCCTGGCGTATTTCTGTATGTACCAAGGGCGGAAACGGGCGGGCGGTTTGTGTGTGTTGTACAAAATCTTTGTCTGAAAACAACAGGCGGCATGTCATGTAGTACTGCAAACCGCTGCTCCGTGCTGTTGGCCAAGAATCGGCTGCGTCCCCCACACCCCACACATCAGGCAGAAGGCTTCCCCTGACTGAAGGCTCAGTGTGTTGTCTAGTTCGGTCGTGGCCCTCGAGAGCTCTATGTTGAACGTGGTCCTAAAAGCACCAGCCCACCAAAATACCGGATTGTACTTGCGCCCGCGCAGTGTGATCCGTGAAGGCATGTTTCGTCAACAAGATCATATATTGTTGTTGCCTAAGACAGCAGCAGCAGTTGCGTCTTTCGTCTTCCAAGTGTAGTACTTACTGCCTCTGTTTTTCCCTGTAGAACCTTTCGGCGAACGTCGCGCAGCTGCACTCGTGCGCACAGCTTCATTTGTTGTGGAACACCATGTATGCGCCCCAAACCGCCACCCATCTAGTCTATGCGCCCTTATTCGAAGCCCAAAAATTTTGTCCGTGATTCGATCGCTCAAGTTCACGGTTTAGACTCGTGATGAACCAACTCAGAAGGTGTTGGCCCTCCTTGAATCTTGAAGGCAGCACCCTCCACATGTCTCTCGAAAGGTAGAATTTTTTTCTGCTGGAGAGGGCGGGCGAACTTCAATGTGCTATCGTAGAGCGGGATCTTGATCTATTCAAACCTGGCGTCTTTCTTGCGACTACAAAATACTTCGATACATGCATATGTACAGCAGCTGGTGCACGACACTGCTTGTTGTGGCAGCGGGGAGTGTTGTGGTTAGTATACGAAGTTCAAGATGGGATTGTAGCAGCGAAGAAAACATCAACAACACTACACTTCGCCTGCCTGGCTTCCACCCCGTCTGTTTTTTTTTTTTTCTCCCATCATTGGATTCTGTGTCTGCCCCTCTGGCCCCTATCTTCCACTTCTACCACCTAGGCGACCCAACCGGGGTCACATATGTGTCATCGTCGTGTCATCCGTGTTCCGCGAAAAGCGCCGCTTGCGAATCGATTTCTATTTTGACGCGTCTACATCTCATCCAACGAGAGTTTGGAAGGAATTATAAATTTGAGAGCTATGTTTTCTATTTCAGCTTGTTGACGTAGAGTGAAGCACAAGAGGCACTCTTGAAGATTCCTTGACCGCGGTCACAACAGCGGGGAAAAAGCCAAAACATAGCGATATCCATCATCTCGCTATGCCTTTAGCTCGCAGCTGAACGTTTGACGAGCATACGTTGAATACGTTCGTGGTCACCTGCATGCTTGTTCGTGATGCGTCTTCGTTCACCGACACATGAAGAAAGGAAAAATCCTGGTTGTTTTCTTAATCACATGTGACTTCCGATGTAGCGAGGACGTGAACGAGTACGTGTCTATGTGGGGTGAACGAGACTTGGGGGTAGGGAGGGCGAAGTAATGTTTTGCATGCCTTAGCGATTGGACAAGTGATCACGCGTCGTTGAGGAGACGGAGCATGACTACCAAAGGATCTGTCACCTATGGCCAATAATTCCTCCCTACTATGCCAAAGGTGATGGTGGGGGTCTTGACCGGCGACCCTCCGCATGGATGTCGGCCATCGCCATCCGCACTCGGAGGCGAAAACTTGTATTTCAGACAGAATCACGGGCAGCTTGCTGTCCGACGGCCCTCTCCCTCTGTAGGGAGCCCTCCTTTCAGGGGATCTCGTTTTGACAAGAAGCGTATCCGTGTCTAGACACGGTTCGGGTTATGTATCCTTCTACTACTGCTGTAAGACTGACTGTCTCTTGTTCATGTTCCAGTTAGCGCAGGTCGATGTTCCTGCAGTCCAAGACAGACGCACGCACATGTTCACGTAGAAGCCGGGCAGCGGTTTCGCAGCAAGGAAATCTTGTTACCAGAGTATTTGCCAAGGCGGGCTGTTGTCTCTCACACGATGAACCGCCACTCTTTCCAAGGGCGTGGGTCTAGACGCTGTCTGACGTTGTGTCAGTCTCATCCGTGGCTCCCCCGTTTCATCATCGAACAGAGTATGTGTTTTCTCCTCCAAGTCTACACGTTGGATCCCAGCTTTACACCTTCGCCAGTTTAATTTACACCTTCGGTGTGTTCGGACGCACCAGTTATACGGAGAAGGACAAGCAGAGCACGTCTGCTTCGAGTGCGATTTCTCTTGTAGGTACAGCTTGGTGCGACGGAAATAATGCCCCGTGGGTCTGGCAGACCCCTTCTGTTGTTCTGCAGTACCTAGCACACATGGTCGGAAAAGGGGGGGGGGGGGGGGGGGGGGNTCACTTCCAGAGACAGTTGTAAGCACTGTGTAACTGCCTCGAGGGTGCTTGACCATTTCAACACAACGTGGTGCGATCATCCCCCTTGCGTGGAGTGAGGGTTCTGCACCCCGCACAACATGATCTACTCGACCACCATTATGGTTACCGCCCCCCCCAAAAAAAAACGGAGGTAAAAAAAACAAAACACGGTAACTTGGTTGCCGAGCTCACGAAGTGAATTGGCTTGTTTTACAACGTCGTTGCCAGGCGACGAAAACCCAACCCCGATGGCAAACACCGGGGG